CAAAACATTCCTTCTTTATAGAAACATATATAAAAATCTATACATTCAGTTAAAAATTTAAATATACATTATCGTGGATAATAGCTAAACTAATTAGGTCGGATATAAGTAAAGATAGATAGAAAAAAGAAAATGTATTGATTTGTTCCCTACGTATGACAAAATTCTTTGTGTACAGCTTTTTAATATGCCACAATTAATTACAGGGCCAAAAATTAATGCAGTACTTTGTCAATCGTCTATTTATATTGAACAATAAAAAATATTAAAAAATTAAAATCTTTAGACACATTGGGTTGTATATCAATATTCTTTAATTTTTATTATTATTACATTTAGATTCCTCGACTAGTTTCGGCCAACATGGCTATCATCAGGAGAAAAAAAATCTGCTTGCTGGTAGCAGTGAACTACAGAAATGAATATCTTGATAGAGAAAATGGACTTTTGTCTGTAGTTTTCATTTATTTTTTATTTTTTTAACATGAAGTTTCGTCAGTCCTTGTGTTGGTCAAACAGTCTCTTTTAAGTTGTTATTTGAGATAATAGCTGGATGGATTCATGATGCTCTGAATTCCCGTGGTCATTTTGACAGTTTTATTGGTTCCGGGAAAGGGGATGTGTCTCTGTTAAGTGTGTGTTATTTGGTTCTTAGGGAGTGAGTGAGTATGATGTGTGTAAGCGTGTATATTACTATGGGTGTGTGTTATCATTTGGCTTATTAGGGAGTGAGTGAGTATGATGTGTGTAAGTGTGTATATTCATGTGGGTGTGTGAGGCCTTAACACCTTCGTAAGCATGTCTGCCTTGTGTGGGTGAAAAATGTGGGTAGGTTTTGATTTGTAGGGTTATATATTGATACTATCTATATTGTTAAATTTATGGTTAAGCCTAGCTGGTTGGTGCGTTTTTAAACGTTGTATCCACTTATTTTGATGGAATCTTTCAAATGTTATCTGCTAAGAAATTTTCTATTCTCTCAATTGTAGTGAATTTGGCATGGGTTTTGAAATCGTGTTTTTCCAGGCGAAAATGTTGTTCTACAGCTAATAATCTTTCATGGGGAGTCAACTTAATTCGATTGCGATAATTATTAATTCTGTAGTGAAAGGGCCATTCAGATTTTCCTACATATTGTTTCTGGCATAGTGTGCATTCTAGGAAGTAAATTATGTTATGACTTCTACAGTTAGAGTCGTGGTAGATTTTGAAAGTAGATTTAGTGTCTGTTAGTGAATGAATTCGTGTGTCTAACGTGGTTGCAGCATAAGCTTCTTTTGTTGTTATATGATTGGGAAAATCCAGTTGTTTTTGTTGTCCCCTGAAATGTGGTTACTACCTATATATAATCGCACACACACACACATATATGTATGTAATAATTTGTTAGTATTTAATCTAATTGAATCCTAATAATCTAAATTATTAAAATTTCTCCACAAAAAGGATCAATGTATCTAATATAACAGAACATATAAATTACATAGAATAGAAATGTGGCGTCTTTGAGTGGACAATTTCTATTCTTTGTTATATATATATATATATATAATGGCAATAGAACAATAGACCGTTTACACAGACACACACACATATATATATATATATATTAATATATATATATTCATTCATTTCATACGTTTTTAGGGATAGAATTGAGTAAATGGTCTGTTTTTTTTTTAATTAAGCAGTAGTAATTATATTTAATGTTAGAAAATTTCGGAGACTGGAATCGAACCTGTATCATATAAGGACCTATCATTAAACCTCTCTTCCTTTCTCTCTCATATATATATATATATATATATATATATATATATATATATATATATATATATATATATATATATATAGATAGAGAGAGATTTATTATACAACATATTTATTCATTTTTTCGTCTAACGACTTGAATATATGAGTAATCTTATGCTCAAATTCGGATTAATAAATATAAAATACATTACTTTATATATATATATATATATATATATATATATATATATATATATATATATATATATATATATATATATGTGTGTGTGTGTGTGTGTGTGTAAAATGACACATGAACATTTTCCTTGCCCAAAATATATTAAAGGCGAAGTAATTAAACGTGGTCAAATATCATTCACATCTGTGTTTGAGATTTTAGCAATGTTTGATTTGTTTGTAAATGTCAATTTCTTTTTCTTTTTTTCCTGAGAAGAGAAAAAGCTTTTTACTCAGAGCATTAACTTGAAATGACATCGGACTCTAAATCCTGGACGGAAATTACTCAATTCTGAAATACTCTCAACACTTGAACTGGCGTATCAAATACACGGTTGAATAACGGAATTGGCATAAAAAGGGTTTTAATTTCATTGGATCTTTTTTCTACATAAGAGATAAAGAAAAATCAATATATACATGTTTGTGTAGCAAAAAATATCTTAGTAATTTTAACACCTCCAAATGCCTTTAAAGCTAAATCGCCAGCTATTAATACGCCTAGAGAAATGTCTTTGCCTTCCTTCAGCATGACCTTCAGGACTGTGACAGGCTGTACCTTTTCGGGCTAACGTTCAAGGCTGTCATGAAGTGGAGAGACTATATTGAAACCAGTGTTTGATCAGCTGCTAATAAAATTTGGTTCACTCTGTCGTGCTAGACAGTTTTTTTTTCTTTCCAGACGCTTATCTTTCATATTTATAAGGCAACCACGCTTAGAATATTGTTACCACATATGGCCAGGTACTCCTTTTATTTATCTAAAGCTCCTTAATAAAATCCAAGGAAAAATTAGCAATATTAATGGTCCCGATCTGGCATCTCAGCTTCAGTCACTTTCTCACAGCCTTAAAGTTGCCTCCCTGGGTCTTTTCTATAAATACTTTCATGGTAATTGTTCGGATGAGCTCTTTCCTATTTTGTTTAGTTTCTTGTATATAGTTTTGTCCTTTTTTGTAAATATACGTTGGAGCTTAGATTTTTAAACTGCTTTTTATTCCCCCTCCCCACAGACAATGAATTGTACATATAGGGATTAGTTAGACCTTTCATAGAGACACAGAGGTATTATGGTGAATGTGGTAAGAATGGTAAGTAAGAATGCGTTGTTTTGGTGTTAGGAATATTGTTGTATGTCTAGGTCAGTGTTTGTCGCTAGATAAGTTTAACGTTAAAACAGAAGAAGGCCGTCCTTTTACCTCACACCCCATTGTGGCCTTGTGCCACATTTTTTAATTAAATTACAAATAAACATCGCTCTTCGCTATGGTACTTAGACTTTTTGAATTACTAAACTGTCATGGAGACTTTAATCAATCATCGGTTGAGCTGGCTAGATGTAAACGTAAATTCTATGCTAACAGTTTCTTTTCTCGCACTTCTCGCTTGTGGAACTCCCTCCCGGCTTCATGTTTCCAGCGAGATTTAAACTGTAAAAATTTAAATATAATGTCAATTGCTATCTACTGTCTTCCTCATTAGTCTTCCTTTGTTTTCGTCCTTTAGCATTATTCCTGTTTCTAACACTTCCTCACAGATTAACCACTTATGTCTGATTTTCTTTACTGCCTTACTTGGGGTGAACTGGATCAAAGAAAAAGAAAAATAAATGATCGCGAAGTTTAATGATTTTTAAAAATTTTACTTTAAAGAACATTTGGATTTTAAAACTGGAATTACATTTTTTTCCCTCAAGTTCACAAATTATAGGGCACAAGAATCACCCAAGGTAGAACGTTCCTGTATGGTGTTGTATTAGCGTAAAGGCAAGAAGTGATGTTCTTGGAGAATATACAAGAAAGATAACAGCATAAATCTAGAGTAGAAGGAGTCGATATTTAAATAGTGAATAACAATTCAGTCTTCAGTCGCAGATGTTAGAAGTATAGAGTTCAAGTAGACTTTAGAAGGAACCGGAAACCCAGTTCCCAACAGAAAACAAGATATAAAAATGGCGATCAATGGCTTGAAGATTTCATTCAAGCATGAAACAGATTGTGACACAAAGAGACAGTGAGAGAGAGAGAGAGAGAGAGAGAGCGAGTCAGTTATTGTCAGTTTTACACTCTAATATCACTGTTTTCTGTATAGAGATCAGTGGAGTATTAAGGAAAATGGAAGTACAATACGACAAACTTTCCTTATTCTTTTGTTTAAAGATAATCCTTTGGGTTATTTACTGTCATAGTCACAAAATTGCGTATCTATTAATAATTATTGAATAAAGTTAATTTATTTTTTTGTTATTATCTTCTCTTGCGTACTTCTTTTCAGTTGAATCTTCCGTTATGTTGAATAAAGGTCATTAGTCATAAGTCTTTTGATAATTAAGATGTTATACGTATTTCGACTACGATACCCACAGGTGTGAATGATTATTTTTGCTAAGCCGTTGCATATGATCAAACACGCCATCTTGAAAATCTCATCCACGGTCAAGTGAAATATTTGCCTCTTGGAAAGTTTGCGGAATATCAGTTACAATCAATGAATTAAGGCTTCGAGGAAAGAAATGCCTTCTTTGCGTTTTAGGGTATAAATTCAGAATTCTTCTGGAATAGCTGCCAAAGTAAAGCATAAGAGCTCAGTCTGACATGTACAGATACTCTCTGCCTGCTTGCTTATTAAATAGGCATAAATACGTGCAAAGAAAATTAAACCTATAATAAACATTGAATACTTACCCGTTGTGAGGCTTGGGAATTGCTGTCAGCTTACTAATAGTCATTTTCCCTGTCCGGTCATGCACGCAAGACAAGCGATATGAACGCGGACTTTTGGTTATCGGGACGGAGAGTAGGATTGGCAGGCTGGGTTCATACTCCGGTCGAAGTATTTGTTTTCACTTTTACGCAAATAAATTAAAACGTATTCGTCCCTTTCTTCTGTCTTCACATATGGGTTAAATAACAGCTTAATGCATTCACATCCAGTCGGGTATCGAAACAGCAAATCTAACCCGTGGAAAAAAAAAGCTTACTTCCGACAGAAAACACAAGAGCAATACTGTGATGAGACTCGTGCCCTATAATGTTAGGACTAGTTTCTATCTCTTTTTAAAGCATAAGACAATCACACTCTTATTTCTTGCTTTGTTTTTATTTCTTTTAACCCAGCCCACAATAAGCCTGCTGCAAATAATTTAACCTTCAATGTTACAATTTATTGTAGCCTCGTTTGCAAGTCAGCTGTCATTTCCAAGTTCAATTACACTGGCGTTCGTATTTCTAGCTCTAAGGTCTAGTCTCTTTTAAAGTCTTCGTTCGACGTTGCTATACAGTATTTTCGATCTGGTTGCATTCTCAGATTTAATTCGGTGCTCTTAGCCCTAGTATTTTTTTTACCATTATCATTATTCTGAGAATTTCTACTACTGTTGAGTTTAAAAATAAACGCATCGATTCAAATTTCAACATTTTGTTTTTTGTTTTTTTCCCATATGACATTTCTTTGACCTGTTTTAGTTTCGAAAAGAAACATTACCTGGGTTAATTTATAATGTTTTTTTTTTTCTTTTCCGAAAAATCCTAATTGATTCTGTTTGATTTTTTCTTGTTATTTTCCAAAAGAGAAAATAAATATGTATGTATGTATGTAGGTAGGTATGTATCTATGAAAATAGCATTTACGGTTTTTTAAAAGTTATTCCATCATTGGTAATATTTAGAGAAGACTGGTTTTGAAATATATATATATATATATATATATATATATATATATATATATATATATATATATATATAATTGCCATATTAATTAGGAAGGACAGTAAAGAAACGTACAGAATAATAAATACTATTGCTCAATGTTCAAGTTGGGAAGAACAGTGTAATAACATTTATTTTGCATATCAATCTTAAGTTTTTCAAAATCGTTCTATATGTGTGCCTGACGAATATATATATATATATATATATATATATATATATATATATATATATATATATATATATAGGGGAAATATTTGGCATTCGTTGTAAAGAATTCTTAAAGTATAAGTTTGATAATTGATTCCATTCTTTTTTCAAAGACTCTATGATTCCATTCTTTTTTCAAAGACTCTATGATTCCATTCTTTTTTCAATGAATCTAAGATCTCCTTCACGTTTTTTGTTTTTATTTGTTTCACACTTCTGTCAAGTTAATATTAATTCTGGCCGTTGCTTCAAACTTTTGAATTGTATATATATATATATATATATATATATATATATATATATATATATATATATATAGTTTAAAAATCAGGGGATCAGCTGTATCCGCTACCTTGGTTTCAAACTTACGGTATTCTCAGATGATTTTTATGAAATGACGTTTAAAAGCGGGAAGTGGCCAACTGATAAAAATCGTCTGAGGATACATGAGTTTGAATCCAAGGTAGCGAGTTCAACTGACTTATTTCTTCTATTTAAAGCGTTGCACCAAGACATGTGCGATCTTGGCTCTCAAAACATTCTATAACTTGTGTCCCAATGCAATTTCTCTCGCCTTGCGAGTTCCCGCCCGCATTTCCTGCATTTATAGACAGATGCTCGTCTGGTACGTTGCACGCTTCCTTCCCCTACCTGTGTTGCCCTCAATACTCCATGTGAGAGTAAAGTTTTGCAGTCTCTCCTTCCTCATTATGCGTCCAAGTATAGACATATTTAAAAAGCAATGCTTTATCTTTCTTTCTATCTATTCCTTTCTGTTCATATATCTATCTATTCCTTTCTTCCTATCTATCTATCTATCTATTAGGTTGGTGCAAAAATAATGACGTAATAATGTCGTTTTTGGACGTATTTTTTAACGTCAAAAAACGACATCATTACGTCATTATTTTGCACCAACCTAATATCTATCTATACCTTTCTCTATCTATCTATCTATCTATCTATACCTTTCTTTCTCTCTCTCTCTCTATCTATCTATACCTTTCTTTCTCTCTCTCTCTCTATCTATCTATACCTTTCTTTCTCTCTCTCTCTCTATTTATCTATCTATACCTTTCTTTCTCTCTCTATCTATCTATCTATACCTTTCTTTCTCTCTCTCTCTCTATCTATCTATCTATACCTTTCTTTCTCTCTCTCTCTCTATCTATCTATCTATACCTTTCTTTTTCTCTCTCTCTCTATCTATCTATCTATCTATACCTTTCTTTCTCTCTCTCTATATATATATACCTTTCTTTCTCTCTCTCTCTATATATATATACCTTTCTTTCTCTCTCTCTATATATATATATATACCTTTCTTTCTCTCTCTCTCTATATATATATATATATACTTTCTTTCTCTCTCTCTCTCTCTATATATATATATATTCCTTTCTTTCTTTCTTTCTATCTTAGTCTGTTCATATCTATCTATCCATTTATGTCTACTTACATCATTTTTTTTAAAATTAAGGCGATATAGCCTAAGTAAGGCGATAATGCCACTAAGATGCAAGGGCCTGCTGGGAATGAACGAGAAGAATTTAAAGAGACCAGAAACCCAATCTTAATCATGAAACAAGAAAAAACCTCTGCTTCAACTCAAAAGACCGGAGACAATCGTCAATCGGACTATAGGCGAATCTATCTATCTATCTATCTATCTATCTGTGTGTGTGTGTGTGTGTGTGTGTGTGTGTACGCGCATGCATGTAAATGGCTCGTTAGGAACAAATACAAAATGAACTAAATTCGCTTTCAGATTGCTTTTGCATAAATGCATGCCTCACTGTCCCTGTTTGATTTAATTTTGGCCATGCTCCACTTAAGCATATGTAAAATCCTGATGACCCTCAACTTCCGCATTTGATATTTAATTCTTATTATTCAAAGAGCGATCCCTATTCACGTGGAGGAAGCCAAAAAGTCAATTTACTTAACTTTCCCTACAAACAGCTCTGGAACCGACACCCAAGAGGATGTTTCCGCGATCCCTACAAACATAAACTGGTCAAGTCTAGGGTTAACCGCTATCTTCCCCTCCTACCCGCATTAAACGACTGTCACTTTGTAACCCGCTACCTCGAGTGATTCCCGATATTAGTACGGCATGAAAGTTACTGACAAGGTAGACATATCTCTCTTAAGCATGCTTTATATTGGGGTAGGAGGAGTGACCGAACCTTGAACTATTTAGATGGTTAACTTATATATATATATATATATATATATATATATATATGCTTTTTTTATGGTACAAAACTTAACGATAGCTAGGAATATGCAAAATTTATATGGTATTTTAAAAAGCTAAAAAAGAACAATCGGTTTCGTTCCATCCTCATCAAGTTTATATTCTGGGATATAAAACATATTTAAGTGTGTAAATTAATTTAATATAATGAATGGAAGAGAAAAAGATGGATTCAAGAAAGCTAGATTCCAATAACATTCCGACCCAGTAAGCATTCCCTCTGTTTACAAAGGGAAGGCCCACGGGATCTCATATAAAAGAAATCTAGAAACTTGAGGTGATATGAGTGGGACTTAGATTAAATCGAGAAACGGTTCGCACTAAAATCAAACACACAATTACTGCTATTTATTACATGCATTGTAATATATATATATATATATATATATATATATATATATATATATATATATATATATATATAGATATACACCTAGCGAGCCAGGCAAACCTACCTAGGTTTCACCTAAACGGATCGTCAGGGAAAGTTTTGTTAGTTTACTCGTATCGGGTTTTTTTCTTTGGGCTTCAGACCTGCATCTGTGCGATTTTTTTGTCGGCAGAAGTTCATGTTTCTAGCTCTTTCTTTTTTCTTAAAACCTTTTTTTCCCTCGAGATTGATTTGATTATTAGCAAATCAAAAATTCGAGGTTTTTTCAAAACGAGTCTAGTTATCTATAATTATATGTATATACATATATATATATATATATATATATATATATATATATGTGTGTGTGTGTGTGTGTGTGTGTGTGTGCGTGCTCTGTTTACAATAAACAGTATTAACAACATTTACCGGCCTGAACGTCCGAGAAATTGACATAAAACATGATTCCTCCGACAGGAATCGAACCTGTATCCTATACAGAACCGTCATATAGCCTGACGTGCTTTTACCGATTGAGCCACAGAGGAGCGTTCCGGTTAGCAAGGTCGATTTTATTGTTTTTAACTACAATCTTCCATGATTCTCTCATGTTGTTTACATTTGGATACGCATTGAGCAGATATGAATGTACGTGAGACAATTGTGGAAGATTGTAGTTTAAAACAGTAAAATCGACCTTACTACGAACGCTCATTTGTGGCGAAATCGGTAAAAGCATCTCAGGGTATTCCTGTCGGATGACGGTAATTTCCGTAGATTTTTTTATATATATATATATATATATATATATATATAATATATATATTTTATATGATATATATATATACATTCAGATCGATAAAATATATATATATATATATATATATATATATATATATATATATATATATATATATATATATATATATATATATAAAGTTCAAACAGTAATATTCCATGGTTATAATTTATTACATATCTGCGAAATTTGCCGGGGTCTTGTTTAACAATGTTTTAGTCTGATTTCAGCATCCTGATTAACTGTTAGCTATACAAAAGTAAAGTTTCTACTCAGTTTTCTTATGAAAAGAAAATGCTTATAATAGAATTTTCAAAAAAAGAAAAAAAAATTAATGTCTAAAAAAAGAAAGCAGGAAAATCGTCTGGTTTGAAGAAAAGATAAATGCAAACTTTCGATTTACGTGAAGAATAGCTGCAGTCGGCGTTTGAAATTAAAAGGCCATAGACAATGGCCCGCTTTGTTTGAGCGAAAGTGGACGGGAGCGGACAAA